AATTCGCCCAGCCTACAATGTGTTTTAAGCTACACATTATTACAAGAGTCAGAAAGCTTTTTAAAAAATAAAAAGTTTATAAAACTTTAAGAGTTACGGTAAGCTAAGATTATTACTGAAGAAAAACATTGTATAAATGTAGTGTGTACAGTGTGCACTGACAGTCCTGCTAGCTCTGTTCGTGGCAAATGCTCTATACATGTGTAGCATTTTCAAAATATTTTATAGAGTATTTTACTATACCTCTTATTTATTCATTTTAGAGACAGGATCCCACTTTGTCACCCAGGCTGGAGTGCAGAGGTGTAATTATGGCTCACTGCAGCCTCGACCTCCTAGGCTCAAGTAATTCTCCTGTCTCAGCCTCCTGCGTTGCTGGGACTACAGGACTATACCACCGCACACAGCTAACTTTTTAAAGTTTTATTTTTATTTAGAGGCTCACTATATTGCCCAGGCTGGTCTCGAACTCCTGGCCTCAAGCAATTCTCCCGCTTCAGCCTTCCAAAGTGCCGGGATTACAGGCATGAGCCCCTGTGCCCAGCCTCCTGCACTTTTTCTGTTTGAATGCGTAAATACTTGCCACTGTGCTCCAGTTGCCACAGTATTCAGTAGAGGAGCAAGCCAGTGCAGCTTTGTAACCTAGGAGAGATGGTCCGTACCGCATAGCCCAGGTGTGCAGCAGGCTATCCCACCTAGGTTTGTTTAGGGGCACTACGATGCACACAAGGTGAAATCGTCTAATGACGCATCCCTCAGAACACATCCCCGTCGTTACGTGACGCATGACTGTATTGCAGTATCTTTCGTATCTTCATTTTTAGTGTTGTGCCCCTGCTGCGTGTCAGTCATTGTGCCGGACACTTAGATCTGCCCACTTTTTGGGTCCCCACAAACCTTCTCTGCAGCCATCATCACTGTGCCCATGACACAGAGGAGGAAGCCAAGGCTCCGGGGGTAGAGGGGAGTTGAAGGGGCTTCCCCAGGATGACCTAGGAAGAACTTGCCCTGGTTAACGGTGAATGACACCTGTATGCTCCCAGAGTCATGCCCTTTCCTTACAGCATGCCGGCAAGACTCTATCTCAATATCCTCGGCAAGACAAGATAAAGGTCCAGACTTGGTCAGAGCCTTGAAAATGGACAGGGGCAGGCACTGAGGGTAGGGGAAGGTGATGAACAAATCTAATGTCCTTCAAAGTGGGAGGAGGAATCCCCAGCCAGCCCATCTCCCAGGACTGATGTGAATGAATGGCAAGGGAGGCGGAGGACTTCCTGGACAGTGCTTCGTGAGCAAAACACATGGCTGACTTGGGAAGGGCTGCTTTCTCTGGCAAGGAACGAACACCTCTGGAGGAGGGAAATAGCTGAAGCCACGTCAGTCCTGACAATTTCATGCAAATTATTTCAACAGAGCCACTCACGGAAGTCAGTTTTCACAAAAGGAGAGGGAACAGGGCCCATGAAGGCACTGACTACCTGGAAGTGGATGACACAAAGTCGAGGAAAGTGGGACGTGGCAGGAGTTCCCAGGCAGGGGTTGGGGGCGTGGCCCGGGGCCTAGACTTGCAGCAGGGGGCCCAGCTCTCCATCTCCTGGGGCTGCAACCTCAGGCATTTCCCCGTGCCCCTCCAGTAATTGGCTTCTTCCGTTTTAATTCTTTTATTTATTTATTTATTTAAGACTTGTCAAGTGCAGTAGTGAGAAGGGGGGAAAGAGTAGAAGTGCTTTATTATGGAGAATTTCAAATGTAAACTCAGAGTAGGTAGAATAATAGAACGAAGCCCCTACATGCCCATCACTCAGCGTCGATAATGATCAGCTCAAGCCTATCTTACTTCTTCTGTTCTCTCACCCACTCCCCCCCATATTATTTTGAAGCCAATTCCAGACACCCGGTCACTTCATCTACAAATATTTCAGCCTGTGTCTCTAAAAGGTAAGGATGCGTTTTAAAGACATAACTACAGGGTCATTATCATATCTAAGAGCACTGACAATGAATCCTTAATAACAAATATTCACTCGGTCACTTGAGCCCAGGAGTGTGAGACCAGCCTGGACAACGTGACAAAACTTTGTCTCTACAAAAAAATACAAAAATTGGTCGGATGTGGTGGTGAGCACCTGTAGTCCCAGCTACTTGGGAGACTGAGGTGGGAGGATCACCTGAGCCTGGGGAGCTCGAGGCTGCCGTCAGCCATGACCACACAACTGCACTCCAGCCCGGGTGACGGAATGAGACCCTGTTTCAAAAAATATATACATACATACACATATACACATATATGTATACACATGTTAAAAATACACACACACAGATATATACATATGTGTGTAAAATATTTCAGTCTGTATATACATATATGTGTGTAAGTGAGTGTATGTACACATATATATATACAGTTTTCACTCGTTCACTCAGTGTTCAATTTCCACTTGCCTCCACTTGGCCAAAGCCAAATCTAGACCTTCATCTTGTCTTGCTGGAAATATTGAAAAAAGTCTTACCGGCATGCTGTAAAGAATGGGCACGGGTTTGGGGGCATACAGATGTCATTCACCATTAGCCAGGGCAAGTTCTTCCTAGGTCATAACTGGGGCATTTTATTTTATTGATTTCTGAGACAGAATTTCGCTCTTGTTGCCCAGGCTGGAATAAAATGGCACGATCTCGGCTCACTGCAACCTCTGCCTCCTGAGTTCAAGCAATTCTCCTGCCTCAGCCTCCTGAGTAGTTGGGATTATAGGCGTGCGCCACCACACCAGGCTAATTTTGTATTTTTAGTAGAGACGAGGTTTCTCCATGTTGATCAGGCTGGTCTCAAACCCCCAACCCCAGGTGATCGGCCTGCCTCAACCTCCTGAAGTGCTGGGATTACAGGTGTGACCCACCGCGCCCAGCCAACTGGGGCATTTTAGAAATATGATTTGTTTGATTCAGAATCTGAATCAGGTTCCCATATTGGTTAGTTAACATGTCATTTAAGCTTATCTATAAATTCTCCATCTTGTTCTCTTTTTTGGTCTTCCTTATAATTTATTTGTTAAAAAAACGGGATCATTTTTCCTGTAGAGTGTCCCACAGTGTGGATTTTGCTGATAGGGCCAGTGTATTTATCATAAACACATTGTTTATGATAAAATAGGGGTAAAAATTGTCCCCAATAATTAAATCATGTCTATGAATGAATGATGATAATTGGAAGGCACCCCACAAATGTCACGTGTTAGTGCATCATCAGAGCCTTTCAGTAACACCAAGTGCTCCTGTTGTTCTGATGATATAGTTGAGGTTCAGAGAAGCTTAGTAACCTGCCCATCCTCACAGCTGGCTTATGGCAGGGAGGAGACAGCAGAATCCCACTGCACCTTCCAATTGCTCTAGGGCTTTGGGATTCTGCTGTTTGAGCCTCAGTTGCTTCATTTGCAAAAACAGGCCAGGAGCCCAGACCTGGGGCTTAAACGAGCTAACATATACGCAGTACCTGACATAGTGCCTCACCCCATTCCTTTAGCTGTCTGCCCTCATCCCTACTGGTTATCTGGTGCTGATGAACCTGGATCCTCGTCGGCTCTGAGCCCCGTCTCAGGCCAGCAGAGGCAGGGTGGGTGGCCCTGGAAGCTGAGCACACTCTGTTCTCAGGGCAGCTTGGGCCGGGCGGCTGTGACTCTTGGGCTGCAGGAAACAATCAGCTATTCTTCCTCCTTCCCTCTTGGTTTTGTTGCTCATATCTTGGGTGAGGGGGCCCAGAGGGAAATGCTCCAACTCCCAGCAGCGCCCAGCCCATCGGCACCCGAATGCATGCTTTCCAGGCTCTGCCCTTCGCTGTAACAAGCCTAAGCCTAAGTCATAGTCCACACTAGAGCTGACCCCAATAGTCTGATTGCTACTACCCAAGCTTGGTGTCACTGATTCAATCAATAGGCACTGTGCTGAGCCCTGCAAATAACAGTAATAACGATAGCAACGACAGTAGTAATAATTGCCCACATTTGTAGCACACCTACTCTGTGCCTGCCCCAGTTCTAAGCACTATGCATACGAGGCCAGTACTAGTATTGCCCCCATTTTACAGGTGAGGAAACTGAGCACTGAGTTTGAATCACTTACCCAAGGTCACATAGCTAGTCACTGACAGAGCTAGGATTTGGATAAAGGTTTGCCTGGTACGAGGTAGGTGCGGCAAAGAGAAGAATATAAATCCAGCTGCAGATGGGCATATTTGCCATGCTTCATGCCCCCAAAGACCAACCTTATTGTCCCCATTTGCCTTCAAGGAAACCAAGGCTCAGAGAGACAGAGCAAAGGGTCTGCTTGGCTTCAAGACCGTGCTCCTTCTAATCCTCCAAGCTGAAAGTAAAATCACACCCCTAGAACTCGAGAGCTGGGAGAAGGGTGGGAGGCTGACACCACTCAGAAGACGGGGCATTGCCTTCTGAAGCTCCTGCATGAACAGCCGCCATGCTTGGCCTTGAATCTAGGTAAACCGACCCCCCACATCACAGCAGGTGTCTCACTGGCTCGTTCCTCTACGAGGACCTCCCAGTGGCATCCGGCCCCTTCACCCCACTTTATAGCTGTGCAGACTGAGGCACTGAGGGGTCAAGCTGTCTGAGGTCCCACAGTGAGGTCCTGGGCCTTGAGGCTCTGTCTTGGCTACTCTGATTCTGGTATCCTGTGGTCCCAAGATTTTTTATTTGTGGCCTAAAGCCAGAGTTCTTCCCCTGGGGGTGAACCACAGGCCCCTGTCACCACTGCCTGGCCCCTCCCAACCACAGCCCCACCCCAACCTCACCGCAGCAGCTCCGTGGTTTCCTGGACACTCTCAACCAACAGCAGCTTTTACCATAATGGTTCCCACGAGAACCTGTTAGTCAATTTTCCCTGCTTGGTTCTCAATTTCTTTGACGGGGGAAGATGGCTGGGGCCCAGGGTGCGGCCACGGGCTGCCCTCCCCAAATGACCATATTTATCTCATACTCTGGACACGGCACACTATTTCAGCTTAATTTTATTTCCTCTTATAAATGGGCACAGCACGGGAAGTGTTAAAAAACGAACAAACAAAAAACAAAACAAAACAAAACAAAACAAAAAAAAAAACAAATAAAGCCAGTTCCTTCACAAGGCTGGTTCAGGTGAGTGCCCGCAGCCGGGCAGGTGCCCTGGTCTCTTTTTCCCGCTGTCTTTTTTTTTCCTTTGCTTTTCCTTATTTAAGGTTTTGGCCATGAACTCAGGACGGGTATGGTTAATAAACAGGTTACAGGGGAGAGAAGGGACAGGGAAGGCCTGGGGGAGGGGACGCAGACCCGCACACCCCCCAGGCCGGTTCTGTACAGGAGAGGACTCACCGGAGGGAGGGACACTGTCTTCAGGGGGCTCTCTGGAGCCACGCCGCCTACGACAAATATTTACATGCATTCGCCACGCTGAGGCCAGGGGCACTGCGGTGCCAGGCAGGCACCCGGGGGATGCTGGGGCCACCGGCCCTCAGATGGCGACTCCCGGGGCCAGTCTTGATGCCTCTGTAAATCTGTACAGTTTGTGGGCCTCTATTTACAGGCAGGAGGCCTGAGGAGGCAAGTCCAGGGCCGCAGTTATTAGAAGAAATCCAGGGAGCCCGGGAGGCAGCCACTCCTGCCCCGTGAGGCCTGACAGGAAGCTTTGCCAACCCCAAGGGGGTCTGGCCCACACAGTCTAAGCCCTACCTAGCCCTGGCTGCCACCCACATACCTCCAGAGATCAAGGGGACCAGCTTTTCAGGCGAGGCCCCCATCCGGCCCCCCGGAGACAGGGCCTGGGCTCTCCAGGTCCCGGGCCACCTCGTGCTCTGGCAGCCAGGGCCCCAGAGGCTCTCAAGCCACACAAGCTCCCTCTGATTTGGAACTCGCTGTGCTTCCAGCAAATGCCAAAGCCCCTCAGGACACCCTATCGCAGGTCGGGGCAGGGACACGCGAGGGCCCTGCACCCACATTGCACCTCGCAGAGCCCCAGCGTGTCCTCACTGAACTCTCTCTCGGACTGCATTGCCTCCGTCAGGCCACCCAGGGCAGATTTTGGGCTGCTCAGACTCTTCAAGCTCACAAGGATAAAGCCCGGACATCTGCCTTGGGTCCGGGGCTCCATGAGCAAGGCCCCTGGCCTCTTCTCTCAGATGCTAAGGACACAGAGAAGAGAGGCCAGTGCCAGGGGCTCAGGCCCCAAATCAGAAGCCAACCCCTGGGAACCTGAGGAACCAGGCCGACGGGGGCCGCCCCCCACCCCCACAGGCTCCAGCCCTACACAGCAGCTGCACTCCCTGCTGAGTCTCCCGCCCAGGGGCCAGCATCTTCTGGGGCTGGAGGCCCAAGCCCTTTCTCCTCCTCCTCCCTGTTTCTCAGCCTCGGCCTGCCCAGGCCGTCTCACCAGAGCTGTAGTTCCCAAGACAGCAGCACCCCAGGGAGGAGGGTACGGAGACAGCCTTGTGGTCTCTGCTCCTAGGACCCAGCCCTTCTGCTCCAAAGATGACTGAGGCCAACCCACCTCCTCCAGATCTCAGAGACCCCCATGCCCACTCTTCTAAGGCTGGGTCCACCTGGCTTCCTCACAAGCCTCTGGGCCCTGCAAAGGAGGGTTTTGGGACTTGAAGAGGGAGTCCAGCCTGGAAGGCACAGGCTGTGGGACAGCCCCCAGGACCTCCCCGTCACTGCCTACACTCCGCTACCCCTCACCCTACAGAAATCTGCTGCCAGGGCATCTTGAAAAGGGCCCTGAAACACAACCTGCCTTCCTGACTTGAATCTGGGTTGTGGGTGAGGGGTGGGGGTGTGAGTGCCAGCCAATCACAACTCACATCTAACCGTTTGGCTCCAGGAGGCCCCCTGCCAAGCACACCCTCCCCCGAAGATCTGTGACCCCACACTTAAAATACCGATGGAAATAGCCCTACTTGCTAGGTAACAAAGGAGGTGACACCTCCCCCACTGTTACCCGGTCTCATCCCTCAAACCCTGCCCTTGGCCTGGGGCATCTGCAGGGGCTGCTTCCAGCCATGGCCCCTGAAGCTGCAGCCAGAACTGCGTGGCCAAATAGCCGAGGGGATGTCCACAGGGAGGGCCCCTGGGCAGGTGGGCTGAGGCTGGCCTGGCCAGGCAGAGGGCAGAGGGTGCGAAGGGCCCGCCCTCACAGGCACTTTGGAGACTTGTGTCCTGGGAGGCAGAGTCAGCCCCCTAGCTCAGAGCAGGAAGGGGTCACAGGGAAATGAAGGAGCCTATCCACATGCCCCCTCCCTGCCCTGGGTCTTCCATCCTGGGAGACCCAAGAGCCCCTCACAGCCAGGGGTCAAATTTCCTTCCTCAGCCTTAGAGGAGCCGCCAGGCTCCCAGCCAGTGGCAGGGCTGGCCCCAAACCTCCCCCTTTGCCAGCTGCCGTGGGGAGGAAACAGGTAGGGGTCGGGCCAGGCCCGCCTGCATGCAATGCCCTGAAAGGGCTGTGGCCCCACACTTTTTCCAGGAAAGGCAAGGGCCTGTTTCCCTCCAGCACTGAGAGCAGGTCATGTGGCGTGAGATTGTGCATCCACATGGGTTTGTGTCTGACACCGGCTGGGGCTGGTGGCCACGTGGTTGGTGTGGGCACCGTGGCATGGAACTGAGTGTGGTGGGACAACTCCAGGGGACCCAATATGGGCTGATTGTTCTGGCTCAATTCCACCGTCCCCAGTGAGCCTGAAAGCAGGAGACAATGTGTGTGGTACCAGAGTGTGGGTGTACTGGGGGCAGGAGGAGGCCACACTGTCACTGTCACGGGACCATGACTAGTGACGTGCATTGTCCTTAGTGTCTGGGGGTGTGTAAGTGACGCAAGAGGATAACAACAGGGATGTGTGTGTTCTGTGATGTGTCTTGATTGGCTGGGCAGTCAGGATTGTGTGTTCTGTGATATGTCTCGATTGGCCGGGCAGTCAGGATTGTGGCTGGTTTTGTCACGGCATGCTTTTGTCTGGTGTGTGACTGCATGAAAATAACGTGTGGCAGTGTGGGCAATGGTGTCTGTGCAGAGTCACCTCATGGGAGAGGCATCAGAGCAGCCTCTCCTCACCAGCGGCTGCCCCGGCACTCTCAGAAAGCTGTTCCTTAGGGGAAGATGCAGAAAGAAATGAAATCTGGGGTGCATGTGTACTTGGCAGGCAAGAGGAGAGACTCAACAACCCCAGAAAGACGGGACAAAACAGGCTGGTGACAAGGGACACCCTCTCACCCAGGCAGAGAGAGGCCGTGGGATAGATGCAAGAGGCTGCAGTGTCTAGACGATTTCAGGGACAAACAAATGTTTGTCCCGGAAACCAGCCTGAGTCCCTCTCTGCCCCAAAAAGGAGATCTCAGTGAGCCCTGTGGGGGCCAAGCTGGGGCTCAGGCCCACCTCGAGCCCCACCCTTTCTTCCACCAGTCAATCAGGAGCCTCCTTCCTCCCATCCATCTGACATGAGGTCCTGAAGCCCCAGACCGGTGGCAGGGATGAGGGGAACAAGAGTTGAGCTTATAAGGGCACAGTCTGGAGTGATGGCGGCAGCCCCCGCTCCTCGGGGAAGATCTGTGTGAGGCTGGCAGCCTGGGCAGGCCTCGGGAGGGAGGGCAGAGAAGAACGGGGGCCAGGCTCCAGGCCCAGTCCCAGGCTTGGACTGGTGGGGCCAGGCTGGGGACTGGACGGCAGGGCGGTGTTGCAGCTGCAGGGAGGCACTGTGGCTCCACTAGGCATAGAACTCCTCCTGCTTGTCAGGCTTCTGGTATGTGACGCTCGCCTGCTTGGGCTCTTCCAGCGTGTAGCTCCCCTCATCCTTTTTCTTCATGCGGTAGATGAGCAGCGTGACCAAGAAGGCGGCAAAGAGGGCACCCACCACCCCGCCCACAATCACAGCTGTGGAGGAAGAGGGCAGAGGTCAAGGCCCAAAGGCAGGGTAGAACCAGGGCAGAGGGTCCTCAGGGATGGGGGCCAGGGTGAGGAGAGGGCTGGGGGTCCTAGATCTGAGCTGGAGTGAAGACGGAGTCCATGCTACTGCTACCAGCCCTGGCTACCATTTACAGGACTTGAGTGGCTGCCTTCTAACCACCTAACACACTAACTCACTGAACCCTCACACCAGCCCCATCAGGAAGGGGTCATTTGAGATGTTCGTGAAATTTAAAATGCCATCAGTCATACGATGCCTCAATATTCTATAACTGCTGGGAAAGAAAAAAGTTTGCTAACTAAATACGATATACCCCCATTACAGAAAAGTTAACATGTGAACAGATGTGCCTCTTAGAACCGACTAAGGGCAAAATGACTAGCCCCAGTCTACAGATGAAGGGAAGGCAGGCTGGAGAGGTGAAGTACCTTGCCTGAGTGCAAAGCCAGGATTTGGACCAGGAGTCCAGAGACTCCCTAGATGCGGCCAGGGCAGGTCCACAGGGACTGGGGTCAAAAACTGGGGGAAGGTCAAGCTGAAGGATGGGTCAGAGATTAGCATCTAGGAAGTAAGGTCCCAAGGGGTCAGCCAGTGCAGCCCAGGAAAGCAGGGATCAAAGTCACAGTCCACGCAGGGGTCAGAGAGCACTGAGGAAAGGCCTAGAGATGGACATGAAGTCAGGGTTGGATACTGGGAAGGAGGAAAGTCAGGAGAGGAGCCAGAAGGCAGGTCCTGGGGGGTTGAGTGCCCAGCTTTCCTTCCTATTGGCTCCTAGGAAACCACGCCCTGATCTCCCTTCTGGGTTCCTAGAGGCAAACTGAGGCCCAGCTAGCTGCCTCACTCTGGGATCCTCCCAGGCTCCCCTTGGCCCAGACCCCAAGCCTCACCTACGAGCACCTCCTTCCGCTCCAGGATACTCTTCTGAGGCAGCTGAGCAGCGGAGCTGCCCGAGTCGATGGCATTGTCCAGGAGGCCAGGGCCCGGGCGGGCACCCTTGGGCAGTGTCCCAGGTGGGGGTGACGGCTTGGCCGCAGCCCCTCCCACAGCTACCACCTCATTGGCTGTGTCTGGTTGTGTGGTCTCTTCTTCTGGTAGCTCAAAGTCTCCACTGGGCCCCCCACTCACCGGCACCTCTGGCTCATCCCGGATTGTGGTCAGGAAAGTCTCCGGAGTTGGGGTCTGCAGAGAGGGCGGCATGAGCCCAGGAGTCAGGCCGCAGCACCCCCTGCCACAGGGCAACCACACTTGCGTGCGTAACCCCCACCACCATCCTAACTACCCCGAGGGCTAACACTTAGCACTCCCTGCATGCCAGGCCTGTGCTACGCAGCATCCCCACGAAGGAGCGTAACAACGCCCCAAGTTTACAGAGCAGGAAGTCAGCTCAGAGCATAAATGACCTGCCCAAGGACATACAGCTAGTAAGTGAGGGACGGACTAAAATTCAGATCTATCTGCCCCCAGAGTCTGTGTTTCTAAGAACTGCCACACTGGCTTTGTTCTTCCTCGGCCACATCCTGTCCCCATCACGTCCCCTCCAGCTGCCTCAGTAACAACCCTCGGGGGATTCCTGCCAAGAAGCTGTTTGGGAACTGCTAGGCACAGCTGCTGTCAACCGTGCCTGAGGCAGGGGCACGTCCTGTAGCCTGGAGGCCAGTCTAAGACCACAACCTGCAGAGTATGATGGCCTCAGGGCCGGTGTCCCGGACACCAGCTCAGGGACTGCCAATCTCTTGGGCTTCCGCCACTCGGAGGCAGGATCAGAGCTGGGAATCATGAGCCCAAAGCGGGGGCTGTGGAAGCCATCGGAGCAGGGGCGTGGCTACGTCACAGGTGGGCATGGAAAGGGTGGATCTGGTGTCTACTCCCGCAACCTGGGCTCCGTGCGCCTTCTCCTGGGCGCCGCGCCGCGTCACTGTTTCTGCTTGGCCAAGTCTGTGTGAAAACACCAGGCTTTCCCAGCTGCGTGAGGAGGCGAGGGAAGGGCCTGCATCCTGCTGGGCTGGGTGGGGAGTCCGAGGGACTGACACTGACCCCAACACAGCTCCATGGCCCAAGGGCCCTCCTCGGTGAGGCCAGCTGCAGAGAGCTCTGGCACCCAGGCTGTGTTACTGCCTTTCCATCTGACTCAGTGCACCCGGCAGGGACCAGGCCACCTCTCTCATGTCCTTGGGATTCAGCCATCCATCCCTGGCACTCCTAACATCTTCATCCCCTTCCCATCAATCCCTCGCCCCGTCCATCATATCCCAAACGCACACACATGGAGCCCTGGCCCTGCGAGACTGCCAGGCTCTGGTGCTGACTGCCTGGGTTCAAATCCTGACTGTCACCACTAGCTGCGGAGCCTTGGGAAGTGGCTTCCCCGCCCTGTGCACCAGCAGTTGCCTTATCTGTAAAATGAGATGACCACAGTGCCACCTGAGGGGTAGGCGTGAGGGCTGAACCTGACAGCCTGAGCGAGGGGTGGGCTGAGCACTGAGCCACACTCAGGCAGCCCTCCGCCAGGTGAGTGGTGCATTCTCACACACCCGGCTTCAGTCACCCTCAGACCAATGAGAATAACAACCATGATAATGAGAGCAGCTGAGAACCTAGCGGGTCTACCAGCACCAGGGCTGTTAGATATGTCAGGAGCACTGTGGATATGTCAGGCAATTTCATGCTCGCAATGAAATGATACATATTCTATTGTTTCCTCCTTTCCATAGATGAGGAAGCAGAGGTAGAGAAAGGATCAGGGACCGGCCTGAGGTCCCATGACTAGGAAGTGGCAGCAGAAGGATGTGAATCTGGCTGCCAGACTGCTGAGTTAATGCTCTCCACCAGAACACACTGCCCGGCCCTCCCTGTCACCACTGCGCACACTCACCCAACTCCTTCCCCACCAATGTCCTGTCCCATTAGGATCCAACCACCTCTGTCCCTCTTCCCTCCCCATTTGATCTGGCTGTTGGTCCTGCCCCTCGACCCCACCTTGTCCGGCTCATCTCTACCGCCTCCTGGTCCTCAGTCCTGCCCAGCTCCATTCTCCTCATCCCTCCCCTGACCCACCCCCCTGCCCTCCTCCCTGTCCCTTCCCAACACCCTCACCTGAGCCACCTCCGTGGGTCCAGGGGCAGTGGTCCCCAGGGGCAGGGTGCTCCTCTCAGGGCTGTCAGGTTCCTGGGTGGTGGCTGGCCTGGGAAGGGCTCTTGGCCGGGAGGTAGCTGTGCTGACCAGCCTGGGTGTTGGTGCCTCGGTGTCCAAGACAGCCACCGTGGTGGGGGGAGAGGGTGCCTCAGGGGTAGTGGCCCGTGCCGTGGCTGCTGTGGTCAGTGGAAGAGGCAGAAGCCTCCGTACGCCGGTGGTCCTTACAACAGCAGTGGTGGCCGTAACAGGGGGTGCTGCAGGGGTGCTGGGGGCAGCGGTGGCCACTGTGGCAGGCACTGTGGCCACAGTCAGGGCCCCTGTGGTTGTGGCTGCAGTGGTAGCCATGGTGGTGGAGACGGTGGTGGCTCTCTGGCTGGGCTCTTCTGGGACTTCTGTCGCCACTAGGGGACTGGTGGCTGGCTCCGGGGTGGGGCGCTCAGAGGGGAGCTCTTCGAATGGTGTGCCCACGGGCTGGATGCTCGTGGTGGGCAGCACTGCAGGTGTGGTGGACACCGCCAGGGCCACATCTGGGCTGAAGCGCATGGCTGTCTCAATGCCCGACTCCTGCTCGAAGTCTGAGGGGGTGGGGGAGAGGGAGAGAGCTAGGGAGCTGGGTGGTTGTGAGGGGCATGAGGATCCCAGGTAAGCAATGGCCATCAAGATTAGGGCTCCCAACCCCCCCTTTGCCCAATTTTCCCAGAGAAGATGAGAGAAAGGAGGAAGGCACAGCCTGGCCAGAGGTAGCCAGTTGCTGATGTTCCCCAACTTCTCTCTGCCAAGTCAAATATTCTTCTGGAGGCCACCTCCTCCAGGAAGCCCTCCTTGACTATTCCTGCTCACCCAACCTACACTTCTGTGAGGTTGAATCTAGGCAGAGCAACTGAAGCGCTACTGGCTGCAAATCTTGCTGGGGCTTGCAGGGGAGCACAGGAGTGGCATTCTGGGAAGAGTCAGACCCCAGAGACACCCCTACCATGAGCTCAAGGAAGGGGTGGTATACTAAGGGCTTCCCCCAGAGGCACAGGCAGAGGGTAAGAGGGAGAACAAGCCCTTGCTACAAGGGAACTGCTTGGGCACTCTGGCTGATGCAAAGCCGGGACAGGGAAGGAACCTGAGAGAAAATGAGACAAGAGGGGTGGGGGCTGGGGGAGAGAGAAGTCACAGCCAGCTCCTGGGCTCAGAACCAGGCAGGAGGAAGGGGAGCCGCGGAGCTTTGCGAGTAGAGATGTGACCCAACAGAAATGGGTTTTACAAAGATTAACTTGGAAGAGGCTCAAACGACTGGGCTGAGGAGGGGAGACCAGGGGGCAAGGGCTATAGGGAGCCAGCTCTGTGGCATGCAGATCCTCTACCATCTCATCAGATGCCAGTCCGTGCCCTCACTGGGCCTAAATCGCAGCTGCCTTCCTTTTGCTACCATTTTGAGAGCTTCTCCTCTGTGCCAGATCCCAACTTCCTATCCCAAACCCTTCTAGAGGCGCTGAGAGCAAAGTGTGTTTCTCACCATCCCCCGGTGAGAATCCAGGGACTCAGGGAGGGGAGCACGGAGGGCACAGTCGCTATGTGGCAGAGTGGGGCTCCCAGTGCCCTTCCCTCCCAAGACTCTGCTAGACCCGCCTGGCCTGGCTCCTCTTCCCCAGGGCTACCTGAGTGGAGGCTGATGGGTTTGCAGGAGGCTCGATGCTTGTCCCTGGCACCAATTGAAGCCCCTGCCTGCCCTGTGCCATCACTGCCCTAACCTCACCATTGGCCACAGCTTATTGGACCTGAAGGAGCTACCCAAAGCAAGCAAGGTCTCCAGAGGGAGCCACGCAGCACACACAGAGACGCAGACAGGAGCCCCTGGAGAGCTGGGCAGCTGGGGCCCTGAGGTCCTCCCAGGCCTTCTTCTGTCCCCAGGAGGACATTCTGCCCTTCTTGTTCTGGGGATCCTGCCCCAGAACTTGCCTAACCCATACAGTAACGTGCCCCCGCCTCACTGAAGCAAGCCACTGTGGGCTCCTCAGAGTAGGCTCTGGATGCAGACTGGTCACGGCCCCCAGGTAGGGGTGGGGAGGGGGTACTTACAGCCCGAGCCCGACCCCGAGTAGAGGTCATCCAGTTCATCATCAGGAAAGGAGTCATCGTCCCCAGAGCCTTCCAGGTCCACAGGCCTCTCAAAGTTCTCACTGCGCCAGCGCTGGGCCTGGGGAAGGTAGAGGCGGACACAGGGCTCGACACCCGAGGCGCAGCCTGGGTGTGCCGAGAGGGGTGCCAGGTGCCCTTGTGGGCTGAGTGACATCCACGTGAGTGACAGAGATCTTGTGTGTACCCGGAAGGAAAGTGCATGTGTGTGAATAATTCACAGGGCAGGGGTGGGGCAGAGGCAGGTCACCTGGGGCCCCATCCCAGAAGGCTTTCAGTGTTTGGCTGATGACTTTCTCTTGGAAACTGGTCATTTTTCATCCTGACTAAATATCAGAATATTGTGAAAACTCAACTCAGTGGTTGAGTAGGTCTGAGGTGGTCTCTAAGCATCTGCAATGTTGGACTGGCTGTGGGGAGCCCTGGGGTGTCTGTGAGCAGGGGAGGGGCTGGACTAGCACTGCATTTGGGGACCAGCCTCTCACCCCCTGACACTGATGCCCCCCCCCACTTCTGGAGTTGATACAGAGCCAGAGTGGGGATCTCATATCCCCAGTCTCAACCACCTGCTCCAGAGCCCTGCCCAGCCCAGCCAGGGCAGGCAGCCAGGAGGTGCCCCTCACCAAATGCACACACACATAGTCTCGAAGTAATGAATTAATCAGTATTTACTTTCCACCAGTGAGTCATGGAGTGGAACAATTAGTGTAATTGCTCCCGTGACGAATTGCTGGGTCTTCCTCCTTTTTAGACGTTCCAGGAGCTCCGAGCAGTAGGGCCCAACCTTCCCCCAGCTCCCCCTCTTCCCAAAAAGACAAATGCCCAGGGTGGAGAAGCTAGAGCTCCCCATGCCACTCCCCTCCACAACCTGAGCCAAGCAACTTCGAGTCCCTGCTCCCTCCAGCTCTCTGGCAAACAGCCTGAGTCACTCAGAAGAATAGGGACTGAGCAGGGACCCAGCTCCGGCTCCTGCCCCTTCCTGGGGCTGTCTTCACTATCTTTCTATCCTTCCAGGCAGGCTGGGCAGGGACTGGGAGGACTTAAGCTGGGAGGAGGGATTCTAAGAGGCCTGTGGTCTCTGGAAGCCCCAAATTGAGGTAAATGTGGGTGCGAAAACAAGGGAGTCCCCAAGATTCCTTAGTGACCAGTGCCACTTAGCCCCGAACTTCCTGCTCCAAGAAAAGCCTGCACAAACCCAAAGACCTGCCCCTAAGCTACACAGACCCTTGAAATGACACACCCCACAGACACAGCACGGGCACAGACACACACTGACACATGCTCACCTAAAGGCAGCCACAGAGGCTCATCGCGTCGGCAGGCCTGTAGGTACAAACAGCGACATGAATGGGGCAGAGGGAGCAGGGCCTGCCGTGCAGCTCTGATCAGAGACAAGCATCGAGCCTCCTGCAAACCCATCAGCCTCACTCAGGTAGCGCTCACCTAGATACTATTCATCCCCAGCTCAGTAGCCATCGACATGACAACCGTTACCATGACGACCATCTTCTCTATGCTAAGGACCAGGAGCTGCAGCTCCCCACAGAGACGGGGGGGTGCAGGAGAGGGAGAGATCATGGGGGAACTAAGAGGATGACAGGGAGGGGGGAGGCAGAGACAGAGACAGGGACAGAGAGATGAGGACAGAGGGAGGCCGGGGGCAGAGGGGGCAGAGACAGGGAGGGTGGGCTGGCGGGTACGAGAGAGGGAGAGAAGGCAAGGGTGGGAAGCAGAGGGGGAGAACTGGCACATTCTAATTTAGCCTCATGCTGATGAGGCAAGGCTGGGGAAGGGGCCACCTCAGTGATTTTCCAAACCTGCGTCCAAGAGCACATTCTTTCCGAACAGCAAGTAGGTTGCAGGGCGGGCAGGGGGAGGAATAACCCAGTCACCCCTGCGCCCACCTGGGATGCTCAGCAGGAACTTAATGCAGGGACACCTGGGACCTGCAGGCATGGGCGCTGGGACTCCGTGAGGCCCTCACAGGAACACTACTGAGGGGTGCTGGTAGCTGCGACTCCCAGTGGGGACAGAGAAGCGAGGGGTGGGGAATGGACGGAGCCTGGGAGGCAGCAGCGAAAGCCTTAGGAGTCACGGAATGCCTGAGGAGGAGGGTGACAAGCAGCCTTTGACCCCCAAACGACCTCTGTATTTGCATAATCCATGCATAATGACATCATTATCTATGCCATTCCCTTAAGGAGAAGTGAATCCAAAAGCCCCAGGACCCTGCCAGCCTCTCCTTGACCCTCACTGTGCCCCCTCCAGGTAAACACAACTCATCTCCCTCCCTATGCCTGATAGGAGGCTTCAAAATCCCGAGCACATGCTAATTCATGTGCATGCGCACACACACACACACACGACAGCCCAACATCCTCATGCATGTACCATGCACCCCGACACACACACACACACACACACACACACACACACACGCACAATTAAGTATAATGTTTACCCACCACAATCTGTATACTCACCACAGCCTATAGGCAATTCAGCCTGATCCACACCAGCACACACCCATCTACCTCACCTCTAGCTGCACACACACCTGCCCCCAGAGTACTCACAGACACACACACACACCTCTCCTCACCACATGCCCCATGGATGCCCGGACAAACAACAACAAACTCTCCTGACCCCACGCACCACACTCACCTCACCAAAGCCCACAACACAGACCCAGAGCCATGAACACGCATGTTCCTGAAACACACATCCCTCCTGGATATCACCCCTGGCAGGTGCATGCTTTGACTCAGACATGAGCCTCACAACTTGGGTACGACCTTCCGTCTAGGCTGCACCCCACACACCCTCCACACACAGCGAGTGTGCCCGGTGGAAGCGCGGAACCTTCGGCTTCTGGCCGCCACCAATCTCAGGAGGGGACACTCAGCAGTGGCTCCCCCAACAGTGCCTGAAGACCTGAGCATCGGGCCCCAGGAGAGCAGCTGAGCATTCCCAAGACCCTCTAGAGACATCTGCCCACTGCTGCTGAGGGCCAGCCCCAGGCCAGGTGCTGGGAGCACGTCACCTGCACAGCCTCCTTGAAGCATCACAACCGCCCAGGGTTTTATCATCCCCATTCCACAGATGCAGGAACTGAAGCAGAAGTTAGAATCCAAACGTGAGCATGGGTCCTCTGCCTCTGAAACCCTTGTCCTGGACATTCCTGGGCCACCCTCAGACCCGCTGCTCATCCAGGGCTGAATTCATACATCTGTGCCCTGCAGCTGCCCCTCACCCCCTGCACGACATCAGCTCAGCAACGCCCACAGCCGTCCACACCCGCACAACACCCACGCGCCAGCACATGGCAGTGATAAGACTGTGCAGCCCCTAGCATTGCTGGGAGAAGGGCTGAGCACAGGACCCAGCACACGGAGTGCTCCCAACACCCCGCTCCACACGTGCGCGGCCTATTGTCCCTCCCTGAAGCCGCCCCAGCAGACTATACCCCGCCTCACACGCCATGAACAGGCCCACAATACCTGCATCTGGTTCCTTCCACACACACATGCACGCACACACACTTTCCTTCCGGGTACACACAAGTGCACACACACTTCGGGATGAAACGTGGCAACTTTCCTAATGGACTGACGTCCCACTTCCATTTCTCCTCACAGTCCCCTTGTCACCACACCCTTTTGAAATAACCCATAGCCTCACTCCACAGAGGCACCTCAGGCCCCCAGCCCAGAAGGGACCGGGCCCAGCAGTGACCCACAGGCCCCCTCACCCTACACCACTCCTATCGATCCTCTCCTAGAGTTTTAGCGCAGCTGCTGGGGAGGCTCCCCTGGGCCAGGGGCAGGAGGTGTCACCTCCCAGGTTGCCCAGCCCCCTCCCTCCCAGGAGCACCCAGTCAGGGCTGTGATGGGTGAGGGTCTAAATGAGCTGGATGTCAGCTAAGTCTCCTCACTTCCACGCGCTACCTCTGCCCTCCCGCTCATCACTCACCCTGAGTGCAGGGGACATGTACCTCCCTCCCACCCCATCCTCCCTCAGAGCCCACTCCAGAGTCTGGGGCCTCTTGTGCCCAGCCCCCACCGCACCAGGAGCCTTCCTAGAGACACAGGTCAGCACCGAGGCAAAGCAGAAGAAACCAGGTCCTCTTTTTCTACCCATTGGCTGTCAGGCAAACCACTTAATCTCGGCACCTCGGTTTTCTCATCTGTAAAATAGAGATGATAAGACTGTGCGGCTCCTAGCATTGCTATGGGAAGGGGCTGAGCGCAGGACCCAATGCCGAGCAAAAAATGAATCGATCGATGTCGCGGTGATGACTGTTAGTTTATGTTAAAATTTCTATTAGTATTTCCAAGTCTTTTATCTCATGTAAGCCTCAACCTCCTCATGACGGTGACTACACCCATGCAGTAGATGAGACGATGAATGCCCAGAGAGGTTAAGCAGCATTGTCAAGGCCACACAGCAGGGGAGTATGCAGACAGGCAAAAAGAGAGAGGCTGGATGATGGGGGAGAAAGGGCAAGTTAACAGACACAGGCACACAAATTAGGTCAGCTGGCTGGGGGCCAGGAGCCCGGCACCCCTGTGCAGTGCTAATCGTGTTGCAAAAGCCAAGAATAAAATCAAGTGTAATTAGTTCTGCCCGAGCTTCCTTCCCCTAATTAGCCAGACTCAGGCCCCACTCTCCCGGTGACCGGAGGTGACATGAGTAAGGGTTGAGGACGCACCTTTAGGTTCTGACAGTCTTGGACTCAAATCCAGCTCTGCTTTCTCGTTGGGTGACTTTGTATTTGTTACTTAACCTCTCTGAGCCTCTGTCTGGTTCAATGAGGTCAGTAACGGTATTTCGTAGAGCAGTTGTGAGAATCACGTGAGATCACGCATGCACACAGTCGGAGCTGCAAAAGGCTTTGTCTGTATTCCCACAGCCTGCATTTCCCACCTCAGACCGCAACCTGAGGGATCAAAGATTTTAACTCTCCCCTCTTACCAATGTGGAAACTGAGGCACAGAGAGGGGAAAGCCTTGCTTACCACATCCGCTGAGAAGAGAGAGGCGAGGTTAGTCTGCCACA